AAGATGGCCATCATCAGAAAGTGTACAAACAACAAATGCTGGAGAGGTTGTGGAGAAAAGGGAACCCTCCTCCACTGTTGGTGGAAATGTAAACTGGTGCAGCCACTATGGAGAACAGTGTGGAGGTTCCTTAAAAATCTAAAAATAGAGCTACCATATGATCCTGCAATCCCACTCCTGGGCATGTATCTGGAAAAGACAAAAGCTCTAATTCAAACATGCACCCCAGTGTTCAGTGCAGCAGTATGTACAGTAGCTAAGACATGGAAGCAACCTAAATGTCTATCACCAGATGAATGGATAAGGAAGATGTGGTGCATATATACAATGAATTATTACTCAGCCATAAAAAAGAATGAAATAATGCCATTTGCAGCAACATGAATGGACCTGGAGATTATCATACTAAGTGAAGTAAGTCAGACAGAAAAAGACAAATACCATATATCATTTATGTGTGGAATCTAAAACACAACACAAATGAACATATCTACAAAACAGAAACAGACATAGAGAACAGACTTGTGGTTGCTAAGGGGAGGGGTGGGGGAGGGAAGGGTTGGGAGTTTGGGATTAGCACATGCTATAATATACAGGATAGGTAAACAACAAGGTCCTACCATATAGCACAGGGAACTACATTCAGTATCTTGTGATAAACCATAATGGAAAAGAATATGAAAAGGAATATATATATGTATAACTGAATCACTTTGCTGTATAGCAGAAATTAACACAACATTGTAAATCAGCTATACTTCAACAAAAATTTTTTTAAAAGAATGAAATAATGCCATTTGCAGCAACATGGATGGACCTAGAGATGATCATACTAAGTGAAGTAAACCAGACAGAGAAAGACAAATATCACATGACATCACTTATATGTGGAATCTAAAAAATGATACAAATGAACTTACATAAGCTCATTAATACAAAACAGAAATATACTCACAGACATAGAGAACAAACTTATGGCTACCAAAGGGGGAAGGGGGGAAGGATAAATTAGGAGTTTGGGATTAACAGGCACAACTACTAGATAAAATAGATAAACAGCAAGGACCTACTGTTGTACAGGGAACTATATTCAATACCTTGTAATAACCTATAATGGAAAAGAATCTGATAAGAATATATATTCTTTATATATATATATATATATATATATATATATATATATAACTGAGTCACTTTGCTGTACACCTGAAACTAACACAACATTGTAAATAAACTTTACTTCAATTTAAAAAAAAAGACAAATAAGAAAATTTTTAAACTAAAGCTGTGGGCCTTGCCTTCATGGGACTCACAATAAAGAAGATAAAACCAGCCACGTATCATGGAAACCTGTTTACAGTTGGCTAAGGATTTGAACTTTGTTCCTGATGTTTTTAAGTAAGAGAGTGACACAAAATTTTCAGTAATTTAGAAAGAAGTGAGAACTTGATGGGAGAAGAGAATGAAAGGAGATCCATTATAAAGTCATCTAGAGCATCACTGGAATTCCTATCAAAATTCCAATGGCATTTTTACAGAAATAGAAAAAACAATCCTAAAATTTGTATGGAATCACAAAAGACCTTGAATAGCCAAAGCAACCCTGAAAAGAACTAAGCTGGAGGTATCACACTCCCTGACTTCAGATTATACAACAAAGCTACAGTAATAAAACAGTTTGGTACTGACATGAATATAGACACACTAACCAATGGAACAGAATAAAAAGCCCAGAAATAAACCCTAGCATAAATGGTCAACTAATATTTAACACGAGAGCCAAAAGCATCCAATGGGGAAAGATAGTCTCTTTGACAAATAGCACTGGGAAAACTGAAGAAACACATGCAGAAAAATGAAATTGAACCCTTATCTTACACCACTCACAAAAATTAACTTGAAATGGATCTAAAACTCCTAGAAGAAACTGTAGGGAAGAAACTGCTCAACACTGGTCTTGGCAATGACTTTGGACATGACACCAAAAGCACAAACAATAAAAACACAAAAAACAAAAGGGACTACATCAAACTAAAAAACTTCTGTTCAGCAGAAGAAACACTCAACAAAATGAAAAGGCAGTCTACTGAATGGAAGAAAATATTTGCAAACCATATATAAGATAAGGGGTTAATATCTAAAACATACAAGGAACCCATATAATTCAACAGCAAAAAAACCAAATAATCCAATTAAAAAATGGGCAGAGGAACTGAACAGATCATTTTCCAAAGAAGACACAGAGATAGCCAACAGGTACATGAAAATGTGCTCAATCATCATGAATCAACAGGGAAATGCAAACCAAAACCACACAGAGGTATCACCTCACACCTGTTAGAATGGCTATCATCAAAAAGACAAGATAAGTGTCGGTGTGGAAAAAATGTGAACCCTGTGCACGTTGGTAGGAATGTAAATTGGTACAGCCACTATGGAGAACAGTAAAAAATTAAAAATAGAGCTGCCAATTCTACTTCTGGGTGTATATGCAAAGGAAATGGAAACAAGATCTCAAAGAGGTATGTGCAATCCTATGGGTCATTTTAGCATCATTCACAATAGCCAAGACATGGAAACAACCTGTCTGTCGATGGATGAATGTATAAAGACGATCTGGTACATATATGCACAATGGAATTTTATTCAGTCCTGAGAAGGAGGGAAATCCTGCCATTTGCAACAACATAGATGGACTTTGAGGGCATTATGCTAAGCGAAGTAAGACAGAGAAAGATAAATCGTTATGATCTCACTTACATGTGGAATCTAAAAAACAGAACTCTTAGAAAAAGAGGGTAGGACTTCCCTGGTGGCACAGTGGTTAAGAATCCACCTGCCGGGCTTAAAATAAATTTATTAAAAAGAAAAAGAGGGTAGAATGGTGGTTACCAGGGACTGGGGCAGGGGGCGTGGAATGAGGAGACGTGTTAAGGAGTACAAACTTCCAGTTATAAGATAAATAAGTAGTTCTGGGGCTCGAATGTACAGCATGGTGATTATAGTTAATAATACTTTATTATATACTTTAAAGTTACTAAAAGAGTACATGTTAAATGTTCTCATCACCAAAAGAATGTAATTATGTGATGTGATGTAGGTGTTAGCTAACGCTATTGTGGTAATCATTTTGTAATATATAAGTGTATCAAATCATCACGTTATATACCTTAAACCTATACAACGTTATATGCCAATTATAGCTCAGTAACACTGACAGAGGCATGGACTCAGGTGGAGGCAGTGGGAACAGAGAGGAGAGGAATGGCTAGGGGATTAAGTGACATAAATTCATGTAAGGGACGTAAAACTGCCTAGCCTACACTAAGTGCTCAATGAATGTCACCTGTTGTTACTTTTATACTGAGCTTCAGTACTCTAAAAGCAGAGTGACTTTACTTTTTAATTTTTAGGACCCTTCCCCTCACCATCAGCAGAGAAGAGAGGTGAAAGGAATCCAAACCAGCAGGTCTGAGTGACAAAACAGGGTTTGTCTCTGTATTTTCTGTCGATGCAAAAACACTTTCAAAATATGTAGTGAATCAATAAACGTATAAAGGAACAAACGAGCAAGTAAGTACAAGAACAGCAAGGACCTCTGACTACCAACCTCTGAAAAACCAGGAAATGGTTCATCAGCTGATCTACAGCTGGAGAAAGAGCGCAAAAGAAGACACGGTTGATTCACACCTGCCACACCTGCGTAGGAAGTTGAATCAAGAACTAAAGCTTCCCAGGGAAAACCCATTGTACTAAGAACCAAGTTTTTCATCTCTCTGTTATCCCACAACCATTTTTCTTCAACCTGACAACTCTGTAATTAGAACCGAAGCCCTTTTGCTGCTGCTTTACCTTCCAAGTGGATTTTGTCTTTTTGCAGTTGCAGAGGATTTCTGCCAGGACTCCCACCATGTAGGGCAGTAAGGACTCCTGCTTGTTGATATGAAGCCAAGGCTGGAAAACTGCCCATTTCCCTGTGCTTCGTCCCCATTCACAGCCCAGCAACCTTCCCCACCTACACTGGTCTCTCTGAGATTAAAAACTCCCCAAGAATGCCAGGTAAGAAAAACATACATCTTGGCCAATTAAGAACTAATCCTCTTTGTGTAGTATTTCCTGTCCAATCTCCCTATATACTAGAAAAGAGAGTGTTTCTTCTATAACACAATTATATGCATTACTGAAATTTCTCATGTTTCACAAAATTCAATACAAGAGTTTCTGGGAAAAATTAATTTGGCTCATTCCACTCAAAACTCACAGAACTTCAAAACACTATCAAAAATAATAATTAATAATCTAGAGAGTTAATCTGGCCACCTAGGCAGGTGGCTCAGCAGAGCTAGTGGCTAACACAGCAGATATTAAAAATACAGAAAAACAATAGGGAGAAAATATGGCAATGCTTTAATAAGAGTAATATTGGCAGGTGCTGAGGGCACAGGAAGAGGCATAACCTGCCCCGAACCAAGAACCATACAAGGCTGACTGCACCTGCCTGGGGAGGGGCCAGGCTGGGTGACCCTTGTGATCACTGTCGTCTCTCTCTCTCCCTCTCTCTCTCTCTCTCTCTCTCTCTCTCTCACACACACAGTCACAGCAGCTGAGCTAAGTACTTTGTCCTGTCCTGCTCAAGTTCAAAATTCTTTCCCACTACCTTTGCTCCCTTTGCCTAGGAAGATTTGTATAAACCAGCATAACTCTGGCCTTGTTCAGACATTTTGCCCTTTGTGACCAATCATGTACAAGCTAACATGCCTCACAGAACAGAGCACCCAGAATTCCAAGCTGTCCTCAGAGCAGCTGGTCTGGCCAGGGAGATTATCCTTAGGGAGGTCGCCTGCTCACTGTGGGGTGGAGGCAGGTGAAACCAGGGGTGGAGGCCTCGTGAGGCTGGGCATGCCCCATCCCATAACCAGTCCTGTGACCTATGAAAGAAATAATTCCCAGAGAAAGATGTGACCACAGAATCAAACCAACAGATAAGTGCAAATACTTACATATAATAGGTTGGATAGAGTCCTTCAAAATACCAGCAATGCTTTTTGGCCTCTGTGCACTGGAAATAGAAGAAAAGCTTTGTCAGTGAAAAGTAGTTTGCATATTGTTGAGAAGATCCCATGAAAAGAAACAAGGAAGGATGAGTGAATGCAGCTTAAAGTGTGAGAAGCAGGGGTTGGGGGGACGATGAACTAGAGGGAGATCCACCCCCAACATGACTTGTTATTTCTTCAAATTTTTTAAAAGAGAGGAAAACATCTATTTCCCTATAATTGTGCTAGCTTTTCATAGCTCTAAATACAAGGGGTGGGGGGACTTCCCTGGTGGTCCAGTGGCTAAGATTCTGTGCTCCCAATGCACGGGTCCTGGGTTCGATCCCTGGTCGGGGAACTAGATCCCACATGCCGCAAGTAAGAGTTCGCATATCGCAACTAAAAACCCAGCAGGCTGCAACGAAGATCCTGTGTGCCACAGCTAAGACCCAGCCCAGCCAAATAAATAAATAAATAAATTGGGATGAATAATTCATTAAAAATGCAGATTAAAAACAATCCATTCTTAAAAATTCACATGGTATGATACTTCAAATATCTAAAGAATGATAGAAGTAAATTATTACAAAGATTTCCCCCAATTTTTGGTTTTGAAAGACATTTCCCAGAGTCTTAACATTTCTAGACCTTTATATTTCAGAATACAGCTGACCCTCGAACAGCGCGGACGTTCGGGACACCCACTGTCCACACAGTTGAAAATTCGCGTAGAACTCTGGTCAGCCCTCCGTCCCCACTGGTGTAGTGCTGTCGTATTTACCACGGAAAACAATTCAGGTATAAGTGGATCCATGCAGTTCAAACCTACGTTGTTCAAGGGTCCACTGTCTTCCAAAAGCCATATTCAAGTCGTTGATTCCCCAGTGGGCACCCATGTCTGCCAGACTCCGTGAGGCAGAACTGACCTGACGCATCCGCGGGGGCCCTGCCCTTGATCATTCCCAGGGAGGAGAAAGACGGAAGAGGGGGACAAGGAGAGACTTCCCTGTGTTTTCCAAGGAAGTTGATGCTGAACTTTCTGGAGGGGACGGCAGGGCAGAGCAGGTGCGATGCCACCCTGGAGGCTTCAGTATCTCAAACACCTGACAAGTAAGAGGAAGCCAGTTGCACCAACTGTGAGCGCTCCAAGCAGAAACGCTCTGACCTAGCTGAGAAAGGCTCTTCTAAAATTAATCCACTCATGCCATCACTTTAAAAATACACAACTTCCTACCTCCATGATCCACGTTCATCAGTCCCTACCAGCAGGAAAAGGCACAGTGAAAACAAAGCTTTCTTTGGGCAAGGCAGGGACGAACTGTCTCGTCCAGCGCCTACCCCTGCGGGAGTATGGTGATGCCCTCCTGCCTCAGTCTGCCTGACAGCTGTAGAAGTTCAGAAACAGACCCCAAATCTGTTGCAGAATGCCAAGGGAGAGGTGAGTTCAAATATTATGTGTTGGACTTCCCTGGTGGCACAGTGGTTAAGAATCCGCCTGCCAATGCAGGGGACACGGGTTCTGAGCCCTGGTCCGGGAAGATCCCACATGCCGCGGAACAACTAAGCCCGTGCACCACAACTTCTGAACCTGCGCTCTAGAGCCCATGTGCCTAGTGCCCGTGCTCTGCAACAAGAGAAGCCACCGCAGTGAGAAGCCCGCGCACCGCAAGGAAGACCCAACGCAGCCAAAAGTAAATAAATAAAATTAAAAAAAAAAACAAAACCTCCCTTCCTGCTGCCCTGGCCACCCCAAAAGGCATCTCAATGGAGACTCAGGGTAATGGACCAAGATTTTTTTTTAAATCCACTCTCCCCGGCCCAAAGAGATTCCCTAAGTGCCATCACGGAGCTCCTACACAGGCCACCCCTTTGCCAGGAGTGACCACATGGAGGGAGCTGGGATTAATGCTCACATGAAACTTACAAGAACACCCTCTCCTCCTGGGCCCTCAGATGCCACTAGCTCCACCCACTCGCGCTCAGACCTCCCAGTCTCTTCCCAGCGTTTGCTGGGGTATCCAGTAACTCCACTGGTGCTTGTTTGTTACTCTTTCTCAGTTTTTTGCTGATAACCTTTCACCATTTTTCACTAAGCCACTCAAGTAAGACCAATTTTTAAAGTATGAACCCCGTTTGTTCCTTTATTAGAGATTCTCTTAAGAAAATGTTGCGGCCATATTTCCTGAGAAGAGAAAAATCCCTTTTAAACTGAGCTGCCTAGAAGTTAAGTTCTTGAAATTTGCTAATATCCAGGCAACGTCTTCACTACTTTTGGACGCTGGACTTTTTACAACAGCTTTCCTGTAAGGAATGTCGATACCGTAGCAACACGTATATATGGTACCTCACAAAAGTTAACACATTATTATATCATTTTAGAGCTGGAGAATAGGAAGAACGCAAGTCACATTTCATGAATCAACTGAAAAACAGTGAATGAGGACTGGGGAGCTCTGATCCTTTCCATTGCTGAGCCTCTCCTCCAGTAAACTCTGGTTAACTGCACACCGGTGTCAAAGTCGGTTTGCACAGCATCCGAGAGGCCTCGTGCTAAAAATGGAGATGAGGTTCCACAGGTAGGAAGTGCACAGGGAGATTCCTGCTGGAAACCACCCAGGATGAAGAGCCAGTTCCTGCCAAGTGAAAGTCCACCAGCAGAGCCACAGTTAGCCTACCGATTGCAATTTCCAAATCAGCATAAACACCAGGATTCAGGGCGGAGCCAGACAGCTGGAACTTTGCAGATGTGGTCAAAATGGGAGTTTGTAAAGGATGAGTGAGGCGGGGCTTTCCAGAATACTGCCCAACAATGCTGGGCTGTCAGAGGCAACCCCACAGGCAGGCAGATGGCAGCATGGGGAAAAGCAGACAGAAGCACTGTGCCAGGTTCCACGGCACAGGGGCCCAGATGAATCCACCCGATAGAGGAAGGATGGGTTAAAGCCTAGAAAACTGGGTTCCAATCCTGACTGCCACTCACCAGCCATGTCGCCAGTTAGTCCGGATCTCAGCTTCCTTACTTCTAAAACAGGACAGATCGGTGCTTTGTGACCACCTAGAGGGGTGGGATAGGGCGGGTGGGAAGGAGACGCAAGAGGGAGGAGATATGGGGATATATGTATATGTACAGCTGATTCACTTTGTTATAAAGCAGAAACTAACACACCACTGTAAAGCAATTATACTCCAATAAAGATGTTATAAAAAAATAAAAAATAAATAAAACAGGACAGACTCTCCTCCCTGCTGAATGTATAAGACGGCTTTATGAGGTAACTGAGACCGCACATATCTAAATGCCAGACCGGGGTGTAGCTGACTAAATGCCACAGCCACCGTTAGCAACTCTATCCCGAAATGCGCACCCTGAAGCCAGCTTTCTCCATTCTCTAGAACAAATGACTTCCAAGGCTCATTCTTCCCGCAGTCATCTATCATTGAAGCAGAAGCCAGGCTTCCGAACCTCTCGAGAACCAAGATTCCAAATATGTAATACCTTACATTTTGGAAAACTCTGTGGTATGCAGTTTTCCAAAATCTCCCTAAAAACAATAAACCTTTCTCCAAAAAGACTTTGAAAAGTAAATACGGGGGAAAAAAAATCAATCTCAGGGTTTTACGTCTACCCCTAAAAGTAGCTCTATGCATTCTGCAAAGATACTACCGTGATTTCTCAAAAACTGACCATCTACTGAAACAGAAAATACACTTGTTAGGAGAGGTCAGGTCGGCTACTTTCTGTCACTGACTGGGCGCCCACAATAGCCAGGATGCTCTACCAGGTTCCGGGCAAACAGCAGGCCTTCAAAGAGCTCACGATGTGTCTAGTGGAAGCACTGATAGCACAACCATCTATTTCCTGAAGAGAGTGTAAAGAGTAGCGACATACAATTTATAAACTATTAACAAAGCAGAATCTGTGGAACTGTGAGAGAACATCTAGTGTCAGGAGAAATCTAAGTGAGGGAGTGTAAGCTTTAAACTGGAAAGGCTTGTAAGACATCTGTACTCAGGAAAGAATCCCAGTGGTCTGTTATTGAAGGACTAGGATATCTATAAATGTAGTTAAACCCTCCTAAATATAGTTATCCATAGTTAGCCAAGACCTAAATAAGCCCCAAAGAACAAATCCTTGCTAATCCCAAATAATAATCCTCACGTTGACATAAATTATTCTACGTCTATCTCTACTGCCTATAGGAAGAACCAGGATGTCACCATTTAATAAAATAGTACATCCTTTTTCTATTCCAAGCTCAAAGAATAGCTGTACCACAATTCTGATCGACTCTGAGAGAAGTGAATCCACCTGTGACTTTGGGACACGTGGCAGTCAAGAGCAAAGTCGAAGGGATTCAAAGCACTGAGGATTTTATCTAAATCCTACCCCTCTTCCTTCTGTTCAGTGGCGGTTTAGGTGGGATCTTTAAATGAATAGCAAACTGACAAACGAGGGCTTCACCAACAGAACTAATCCCACCCACATCTGGAAAGTAAGGATCCTTATTTTACTTATTGTGGTAATAACTTTAGCCAGTCTGTCCGTGGGCCAATAAGCCCACAATCTGCTGTGCCCCAAGAGAAATCAGCCCGACGACTCTCTCCGCGCTGTGCTGGGACAAGGTGCTGGTTTCACATTCATCAAAAGCTGAACTCAGATGCGCCTTGAGATCCGGCCGCGCTCAGTTCAGCCCAGTTAGCATGGGCTCCACACTCTGCAGTCTGAAGGAGGGAGCCTCCCGGACGCTGGCGGGTTTTGTGCTCAGGACCAGGGACAGAGGCACGAGGCGTGGAGAGGCCTTGAAGTCTGATCAAGAATTTATGGAGGGAGTGACCGTTAGTTATCTCAAGGTCTCTGAATTTCAAATAATAAATAGGAATGATCATGCTTTAAATTCCTGTACTGGAATTTAAATCAGTTCCCTAAGTGTTTATTACTTAATCCTTGGGCTTCTGGACACTCTTTTTTTTTTTTCAGGAGCACATTTCCAAGGAACCTTGGTTTTTTTGTGTTTGTTTTTGTTTT